TTTTCCAAAGGAATCAGGTGGAAGAGGAAAATTAGTGTGTTAAAAATGAGAATGTGGGGCCAGCAGGTGGTGTGGTGGTTAAGGAGCTGCATTCCCACACGGCCAGTCATGTGGGTTCAAGTCCCTGGTTTGAGTCCCTGGACTCAGCAGCTTGAAGATCACACAGGGGGTGTGTGTGTGTATGTGCATGATCAAAATCCTGAGAGGAAAATGGAGGGGAGGAGACGGTGGCATGGCCATTTTCCCTGTGAGTGATTTCTCACTTCCCCTCTTTCTGTCTCTCTCTGAGCACATGCTCCCTATGGCAAAAGGAAGAAAGGAAGAAATAGAGAAAGATAGATAAATGGAAGAGAATTCATTTGTTTTGAAATGTTCTATTGCCTTTTTTCCTACCCATGACATCCTTAGCTATACAGTTGTGACAGTAGCTTTTGATTTTAGAGTCCTGAGGCCTCAAGAAACATACTGAAATGTTCAGACTCACATATATGTTCAACTTGAAAATTCTAAAGACTATCTCCATCAAGAGACTCCTTAGTGGGTTGACAAGTGGCATGGTGGTTGGGGCACTGGACTCCCATGTGGTTGAATGTGGTTCGAGTCCCGGACCTTGTAGCTTGCTTTCTCACTTTCTCTCTCTTCCTGGTGAGCATTTGTACCCGGTAACAAATTAAAATAATCATTTATTTTATTTTATTTTATTTATTATTATTCATTTGCTATAGGGTACATGTGTTCATGAGAGAGAGAGAGAGAGGGAGAGAGAGGCAAAGTGAGAAAGCAGGTCACCAGGTCTGGAACTCAAACTGCAGTTGGCCATGTGGGAGTCCAGCGTCTTCACCATCATCATCTTCTGGCCCCAAATAATTTTTTTTTAAAAAAGAGTTTAACAAAAAGACTGCTTAGGCATTAGAAGATGGGAGGGTGAGAGAAGAGGACAGAATGGAAAGAGAAGAAGTTGGGCATATGAATACAAGAATGTCTTACTTTCCCAGCCCACCCTAAAAAAGCAGGGTGCAGTGGCAAACTTCTGCAAACCCAGCTACTCAGGAAGCTAAGTAGAAGGATGGCAAGCTTGCAGCAATGTGGGCAGCATAGTGAGGTCCTGTCTGAAAGAGGCAGGCCTGGCTTGTAGTCCTAGCTGTAGTCCTAGCTATTCTGCAGGCAAGACCCTTCTAAAATCAACACATATGCACACACATACAGTGTCTCACCTGAAGCTGCTGCACAAGAAAGACCAATTGTAATGTTGGCATTTTTGATACCCAGTCAGCTAGAAATAATGGCTACCTCTCTGTGATTACCGAGGCACGGCTAAACAGGCCAGGCATTCAGCAGATGGCCTTCTGGAGTATCCTTGACTTACACTAACTTGCTGTTTATCTATTAGCTGTCTCAAGGTGAATCGAAGACAGCAAAGAGCAGGCACCTATTAACCAATTCATTCACTTAAGGCAGTGAAACAAGGTCAAGAAACCTGACAAGGGGGCCGGCAGGTGGTGTAGTGGTTAAAGAGCTGGACTCCCACATGGCCAACTGTGGTTCAAGTCCCAGACTTGGCGGCTTTCTTTCTCACTTTCTCTCTCTTTCTTTCTGGTCAAATGAAAAACTAGTAATAATTACAATAAATAAAATGAAAACGAAAAAGAAACCTGACATGAAAGTACAAAAGACAGGACTGATGGGCAGCCATGAGGCCGTGTAGCTGGAAGGGACTGAACAAGCAAAGACAAGAGCAGGTAAGTGTTGATAGCTGGTGGGGGCGAGGACCAACACCTCAGCACCTACTAGGTCACTTTAAGTACTTTACACGCTTCAGGTATCTGATGGGGTACCACTAGGGAGTCTAGAGTGCCCTGGTCCATCTCATATCCCAAAGGGGCACTCTGCCTGCTGTGTGATACAGTTCTTACCTGAACACCCAGCCCTCTGCGTTTCTGTCTCCACCATCAAAAGTTCTTCTTCTCTCTCCAACTGGGATATTAGGTCTGGTTTGAAGGGCTGATGGTCTACCAAAGAGGCAAGGAGAGCGCACGTTGAAGTTTGATAATACCCGATGTGTCCAAAGTAGACAAAAAGGTCTTCTCAGAAAAGTGTGGTGCTTTCCCACAGGCCTTCCACCCTATTACTTCCCACCCGCTATCGGAAACTAACTTCCTACTTTTCTGATAAATTCTTCCTGTGTTCCTTTTTCTTTTCTAAGAATTATTTTTAACTTAACTTTATTTATTTATTTACTTATTTTAATTTGACCAGAGAGGGACAGAGTAAGAGTGAGAGCAAGAGAAAGAGGGAAAGTGAGAAAGCAAGCTGCCGGGTCCAGGACTAGAACTGTGGTCGGCCATGTGGGAGTCCAGTGACCACCATGCCACCTGCTGGCCCTGCTGTGTTCCTCTTTAAAAAGGAAGCATATGGGGCCAGAAGGTGGCATGGTGGCATGCGGATCTCACATGGCCAACCAGTTTGAATCCTAGACCCAGCAGCTTGAAATCCATGCTGAACACGTGTGAGTACATGCCCAAAATCCAGAGCAGAGAATGGAGAGAAGACTGTGGCATGGCCATCTCCCCTGAATGGTATTTCTCACTTTCCCTCTCTCTGTCTCTGTTTCTCTCTAGTGAGCACATGTACTCTATGGCAAAAATCTGGGGAAAAAAAAATGAAGCATATTTATCTGTATCTACAAAACAGACTGTAGTAAAGGATTAATCTGTCCAGAGAGAAGTCTGGCCTTTGCCCTAAGCTCCTAGGAAGTAATCTCTGAGTCCTTGGAATGTCCTACCTAATAGAAGTACCTATGCAACCCTTCTCCTTCATTCTCCTCTTTGGATTTTGGGCACATAGGCATGTGCACCCAGCATGAGCCACAGGGTCCAGGACTCAAACCACAGTTGACTAGGTAGGAGTCCATCAATATAACCATTACACCATCTCCTCACCCCTGTAGTAGTTTTTTTTTTTAAAGGGAAAAACAAATAAGCTAATGCTCATCATTTGGGAAATGGCTAAATAAAGTCTGTTATTCCCATATATGAGGTAATTTTGCATGATAAAAGAAAAGGGCTATAATCTAACACTGGGAGGGGTTTTTCCAAAGGAATCAGGTGGAAGAGGAAAATTAGTGTGTTAAAAATGAGAATGTGGGGCCAGCAGGTGGTGTGGTGGTTAAGGAGCTGCATTCCCACACGGCCAGTCATGTGGGTTCAAGTCCCTGGTTTGAGTCCCTGGACTCAGCAGCTTGAAGATCACACAGGGGGTGTGTGTGTGTATGTGCATGATCAAAATCCTGAGAGGAAAATGGAGGGGAGGAGACGGTGGCATGGCCATTTTCCCTGTGAGTGATTTCTCACTTCCCCTCTTTCTGTCTCTCTCTGAGCACATGCTCCCTATGGCAAAAGGAAGAAAGGAAGAAATAGAGAAAGATAGATAAATGGAAGAGAATTCATTTGTTTTGAAATGTTCTATTGCCTTTTTTCCTACCCATGACATCCTTAGCTATACAGTTGTGACAGTAGCTTTTGATTTTAGAGTCCTGAGGCCTCAAGAAACATACTGAAATGTTCAGACTCACATATATGTTCAACTTGAAAATTCTAAAGACTATCTCCATCAAGAGACTCCTTAGTGGGTTGACAAGTGGCATGGTGGTTGGGGCACTGGACTCCCATGTGGTTGAATGTGGTTCGAGTCCCGGACCTTGTAGCTTGCTTTCTCACTTTCTCTCTCTTCCTGGTGAGCATTTGTACCCGGTAACAAATTAAAATAATCATTTATTTTATTTTATTTTATTTATTATTATTCATTTGCTATAGGGTACATGTGTTCATGAGAGAGAGAGAGAGAGGGAGAGAGAGGCAAAGTGAGAAAGCAGGTCACCAGGTCTGGAACTCAAACTGCAGTTGGCCATGTGGGAGTCCAGCGTCTTCACCATCATCATCTTCTGGCCCCAAATAATTTTTTTTTAAAAAAGAGTTTAACAAAAAGACTGCTTAGGCATTAGAAGATGGGAGGGTGAGAGAAGAGGACAGAATGGAAAGAGAAGAAGTTGGGCATATGAATACAAGAATGTCTTACTTTCCCAGCCCACCCTAAAAAAGCAGGGTGCAGTGGCAAACTTCTGCAAACCCAGCTACTCAGGAAGCTAAGTAGAAGGATGGCAAGCTTGCAGCAATGTGGGCAGCATAGTGAGGTCCTGTCTGAAAGAGGCAGGCCTGGCTTGTAGTCCTAGCTGTAGTCCTAGCTATTCTGCAGGCAAGACCCTTCTAAAATCAACACATATGCACACACATACAGTGTCTCACCTGAAGCTGCTGCACAAGAAAGACCAATTGTAATGTTGGCATTTTTGATACCCAGTCAGCTAGAAATAATGGCTACCTCTCTGTGATTACCGAGGCACGGCTAAACAGGCCAGGCATTCAGCAGATGGCCTTCTGGAGTATCCTTGACTTACACTAACTTGCTGTTTATCTATTAGCTGTCTCAAGGTGAATCGAAGACAGCAAAGAGCAGGCACCTATTAACCAATTCATTCACTTAAGGCAGTGAAACAAGGTCAAGAAACCTGACAAGGGGGCCGGCAGGTGGTGTAGTGGTTAAAGAGCTGGACTCCCACATGGCCAACTGTGGTTCAAGTCCCAGACTTGGCGGCTTTCTTTCTCACTTTCTCTCTCTTTCTTTCTGGTCAAATGAAAAACTAGTAATAATTACAATAAATAAAATGAAAACGAAAAAGAAACCTGACATGAAAGTACAAAAGACAGGACTGATGGGCAGCCATGAGGCCGTGTAGCTGGAAGGGACTGAACAAGCAAAGACAAGAGCAGGTAAGTGTTGATAGCTGGTGGGGGCGAGGACCAACACCTCAGCACCTACTAGGTCACTTTAAGTACTTTACACGCTTCAGGTATCTGATGGGGTACCACTAGGGAGTCTAGAGTGCCCTGGTCCATCTCATATCCCAAAGGGGCACTCTGCCTGCTGTGTGATACAGTTCTTACCTGAACACCCAGCCCTCTGCGTTTCTGTCTCCACCATCAAAAGTTCTTCTTCTCTCTCCAACTGGGATATTAGGTCTGGTTTGAAGGGCTGATGGTCTACCAAAGAGGCAAGGAGAGCGCACGTTGAAGTTTGATAATACCCGATGTGTCCAAAGTAGACAAAAAGGTCTTCTCAGAAAAGTGTGGTGCTTTCCCACAGGCCTTCCACCCTATTACTTCCCACCCGCTATCGGAAACTAACTTCCTACTTTTCTGATAAATTCTTCCTGTGTTCCTTTTTCTTTTCTAAGAATTATTTTTAACTTAACTTTATTTATTTATTTACTTATTTTAATTTGACCAGAGAGGGACAGAGTAAGAGTGAGAGCAAGAGAAAGAGGGAAAGTGAGAAAGCAAGCTGCCGGGTCCAGGACTAGAACTGTGGTCGGCCATGTGGGAGTCCAGTGACCACCATGCCACCTGCTGGCCCTGCTGTGTTCCTCTTTAAAAAGGAAGCATATGGGGCCAGAAGGTGGCATGGTGGCATGCGGATCTCACATGGCCAACCAGTTTGAATCCTAGACCCAGCAGCTTGAAATCCATGCTGAACACGTGTGAGTAGATGCCCAAAATCCAGAGCAGAGAATGGAGAGAAGACTGTGGCATGGCCATCTCCCCTGAATGGTATTTCTCACTTTCCCTCTCTCTGTCTCTGTTTCTCTCTAGTGAGCACATGTACTCTATGGCAAAAATCTGGGGAAAAAAAAATGAAGCATATTTATCTGTATCTACAAAACAGACTGTAGTAAAGGATTAATCTGTCCAGAGAGAAGTCTGGCCTTTGCCCTAAGCTCCTAGGAAGTAATCTCTGAGTCCTTGGAATGTCCTACCTAATAGAAGTACCTATGGTTTCCCTGGGTCCATGCCAGAGAGTTACACAGTGTCATTTATGGTGGGGTTTTGAGCCCTGTGTTATCAGTTTAACTTCTGGAGGGACTAGACAGGTGGTCAACCATATCTACTTGACTGAACGCCAATAAAAGCTCTGGACACCAAAGCTTGGGTAATGCTCCTGGTTGCCAATGCTTCAGGTGTTTTGTCATACATCATTGCTGAGAAAAGTTAATGCTGTCCGTGACTCCACTGGGAGAGGACGAGTGGAAGCTTCAAGCCTGGAACAGTCCTAGACTCTTCCACTTCTTTTAGCCGACTTTAACAAGTTTCCTTTTCCTGATAATAAACTGTAACTATGAGGATAATGGCTTTCAGCCATTTCTGTGAGTCCCTCTAGTGAATTATCAAGCCTGAGAGAAGTATTGGGGACCCCTGAACTTGCAATTGGTGTCTAACGTGAGGGTGGACTTGTGGACACCCAAATTTTGTGTATGTACTGAAGTATTTAGAAAGAAAGGGCTATGGCATATATAAATTGTTCTCAGATGGTTCAGAATAAAATATTAAGTTATCAAGAAAGTCATGACTATTTTCCTATGCAAAATTGCATCACGACTTTCTAGATGACCCAATATAAATGTATTCATATATACATAAATACATATGGAGAGAGAAAGAACATGGGCATAAATGATAAAACAAATGTGGTTAAATTATACTATATGGGAACAGAAAGTAAAAGCTATATGGGTGGTTTTTAAACTTTTTAAAAAAATTATTTTATTGAACTTTATTTATTTTATTTTGATGAGAGAAGGACAGAGCAAGAAAGAGAAAGGGAAAATGAGAAAGCAAGCCACTAGGTCCGGGACTTGAACCAGAGTCAGCCATGTGAGAGTCCAGCCCTTAAACACCACACCACCTGCTGGGCCCCATGGGTATTCTTTTTTATTTTTTATTTTTGTTATAGGGTGCATACGCTCACTGGAGATAAATACATAAAACGAAAGTGAGAAATCACCCCTCATGGCCATTGTGGCCATGACACAGTTCCTTCTCCTCCATTCTCTTAGGATTTTAGGCATGCGCACACTCCTGATTTGCCCTTCAAGCCACTGGGTTCAGGACTCAAACCATGCAGTTGGCCATGTGGGATCCAGCTTCCTCAACTTCCACATCACCAGCTAGCCCCATATATGGGCACTCTTACTCTTTCACTTTTGCAAATTTTCTGTGAGCTTGAAATTATTTACAAATATGTTATTAAAGAAAAAAATACCTCAAAGAAATCAAATGAATAAGCACTTACTGGCACCCTGTAACAAAAAAGCCGGAGCAACTTACTAAATGGATTTTATGACGCACCAATGGAACAGGACTATGATTTGCCCACTTACAGTGCAAAGACAGATTTCTGCCTGGAGAAAACCATCAGAAACGCCTTATCCATGTTGCACAGAGATTATTAGGGCTCTCAGGTAGCCTAGCTCAGAGAACAATTTCAGCTCTGGAGGCCCAGAGCTTCAAACAACTGAGCACACAAAGATGCCCCCATGAGACTACCATTGAGTTCGAGAGGACAGGTATCCTCACCCACTGAGAGCAGGTTCTGGAAGTTCTCTAGCATCACATCTCGGTACAGCGTCCTCTGGGCAGAGTCCAGCAGCCCCAGCTCCTCCTCGGTGAAGACCACAGCCACATCCCTGAAGGTCACCATCTCCTACAACACCAAGCACACATGGATGGCTCATGGGGGAAGAGCAGCACTGAGGAAATGTAACGAATGGGAAGCTGCTCTGGATTCTAAGACTTGAGTCAAATTTAATAGCTGCCTTCTTTTTGTGTCCTATACTCCTAACTCCATCCACAGAAAGGGCTGTAAGAAAATAAATTTTTGCATTTTATTTTTTTAGAGATTTATTTATTTTTAATTTATTATCATTATTCTTCTATTTTGAACCAAGAAAGGCAGATAGAGAAAATGGGGGAATGAGAAAGCAAGCCACCAGGACCAGGACTTGAACTGTGGTCAGCTATGTAGGAGTCCAACACCTCAATCACCATGCCACCTGCCAGCCCCAATCCTTGCATTTTAAATTGTTGCCATCTGGGGGGCCAGCAGGTGGTTTGGTAGACTCCAAGTGCCTGACCATTGCTTGAGTCCCAGATCTGGCAGCTTGAAAAATCACACCAGGCATGTACAATGCACGCCCAAAATCCCAGGACAATGGAGGAGAAGGGACTGCAGCATGGTTATTCCCCACGGGGAGTGATTTCTTACTTTCTCTCTCACTGTCTCTCTCAGAATTTTCTGGCAAGTGCATGCACCCTATGGGGGAAAAAAAAAAAAAGAAAAGAAAAACAAAATTGCTGCCACTTGGTAGCACTCCTATAGGTAATTTCCTGGAACTCTACTACATCCTGGGGTACTACTATTTAAAATTTAATTAATGCCATTATGGCTGGCCCATAACCTCATAGGTAAAGCAGCCGGATTCCACATGGTTGACCACAATTCAAATCCTGGCCCTGATGGCTTTGAAAAACATGCCAGGCATGTGTGCATGGGTGCCCCAAATCCTTGCAGGATGGATAAACAGAGAAGGGATTGCAGCGTGACCACACCCCGTGGCGGGGGTGAGGGCTTTCTCCGTGTCTCTATCTTTCTTTGGTGAGTACGTGCACTCTCTGGCAATAACATAATAATGACATTTGCCGTAGAAAAACTTTAGATCTGACAGTGCCTGACGGCACCTGTTTTCCCTCTTTGACATATGCTCATCCCTTACAGGCTTCCAGCCACCCTCACGGCTTCCTTCTCTGCCATGTGTAGGGCCGGCAGTGTTTATGGTGTTGGCAGTTACAGGCACAGGTCGGGAGCCTGACTGCCTGTGTTTACGTCTGGATGTTCTGCCCTGTGCTAGAAGGACAGGTTTCTTCTCCTCTCATTTGTATGCAGGTCATCGGGTACGAAGGTAATAAAGTGAGTGAGGATACGGAAAGCATGGAGGAGCAGTGCCTAGCGCAGTTAAGTCCCCAGTAAATGTTAGCTCTGTCTTTTTCTAAACACTTCTTTCTTTCTTCCATGAGTGAGATAAAGAGATAGAGAGTCACCCCAACAGAGTTTTCACATCACGGGCCACCTCGGGCTCCAGCCAGCCCCAGAGCATGGACATGACACACACCCAGCATGTTCAGGAGGTTTCTCTACATGAACCTTAGTTAAAGCACACTTAAGTTTTCAGATGACTAACAAGCAATGCTGCGAACAAGTCCTATTTATAAAAAATAATTATTTTATTTAATTTCATTTATTTATTTTAATTTGACCAGAGAGGGACAGAGGGGCAGAGAGAGAGAGAGAGAGGGAAAGCAAGCTGCCAGGACACGAATTATGGTCGACCATGTGGGACTCCTGTGCTCTCAACCACCATGCCACCTGCTGGCCCACAAACAAGTCCTTTTATATCTGGGATTCTTGATTACACCTCATTAAAATAAATACCAAATGGTAGAAACAGCAATGTTGAAGAACAATGACCTTTAAAGTTTTGAAATCATCATGACTAGTGTTTCTCCCAAAAAAAGACTTTTCCGACTTAGTCTTCCTCCAAGAAAGTGTATATCCTATAACAGCCACGGCTGCACATGATTTTTTTTTTTAAATCTTTGACAATCTTTGAAGTAAATTTAGGAAGTAAAAACCAGTTATTTTTAAAAATTCCCACAAAGTCAATTAGTAATAAAGATAATTCTCTTTTCAAATATTTGTTATTCATCTCTAGTCTTTGTTTTCTGATAATATTGATTTTAGGGACACCGAAGTCTTTTCTTCCATGTACATTATAAATGTTTTTCATTCTGCTTTGTTGTTGTCATGTAACTTTTTGCTGTGGGAAGATTTAAAATTTTTATACAAAGACCTGTTTGATACTACATTTGTTCTGGATGATGTACTAATTTCATCACAACTTCAGCTCTGAACAGAAAATTCTGCTTTGGGGACCAGCAGTTAGCGTAATGGCTGTGTTGCTGGATTCCCACATAGTCGACTGCGGTTCAAGTCCCGGACCCGGTAGCTTAAACTCACACCAGGCGCGTGTGTGTGCGTGCCCAAGATCCTGAGAGGAGAATGGAGGAGAGGGGATTGCGGCATGGCCATCCCCCCTGGGGGGTGATTTCTCGCTTTCTATCTCTCTGTTTCTGTCTGTCTGGCGAGTGCATGCGCCCTATGGTAAAAACCTCTCAAAAAAAAAAAAAATCTGCTTTGGTTTGGTTTGGATTTTTTCCTGTGTCCTTCTACCCAAACAGTCTGCCTGATATTCTGGACCCAGAAGGAAAAAGCTTTGGAGTTGGCCAGACATTTGTCTTCCTGTAAAAATATAGACCTCGGTAACAGTGCAAATGATTCCAAGATTACCTTTGGTCATTCAGAGCTGTGAATGAAGTGACAGGTGAAAAATGCCTGCAAGTCCTTCAATGACTAAAAATTTTAATACAAGTACCTGTATTAGGCTAATAAAATAAATTGATATGCAAGGTCTTCAAAAAGTTCATGGAAACAATGTATTACCAAAAAAAAATCATGCATCAAATTCCATTGAATTCCATTTTTTCATAAACTTTTTTTTTTTTTTTTTGGAGAGGTTTTCACTATAGGGCGCCAGACAGACAGAGAGAGACATAGAGACAGAAAGCGAGAAATCACCCCCCAGAGGGGATGGTCACGCTACAATCCCTTCTCCTCCATCCTCTTCTCGGGATCTTGGGCAGGCACGCACATGCGCTCGGTGTGAGTTTTAAGCCACCGGGTCCGGGACACGAACCACGGTTGACTACGTGGGAGTCCAGCGACATAGCCATTACGCTAACTGCTGGTTCCCCATTTTTTCATAAACTTTTAAGTCCCCTGATACACGAATAATAAAACACACAGAACACACAAACATCCAAACACCTAAAAAGCTTCAGATCCCCTTGGGGGGTGATTTCTCACTTTGCCTCTATCTCTCTGTTTCTTTCTCACTCTGTTGAGTGCACGTGCCCTATGGCAAAAATCTGGGGGAAAATAAAGTTTTAGATACTGGGAAAAAAGAATCTAGCTCTTGTATAAAAACATCTACTTTTTCCCTGAGTTTAGTTTCAGCCTGATTTTTTTTTTAAGAGATATTTTTGTTATAGGATGTGTGTGCTCGTTGGAGTGACAGACAGAAAGCAAGAAATCACTCCCCAGGAGAGATGGCCAAGCCGCAATCTCTTCTCCTCCATTCTCTTCTCAGGATTTTGGGTAAGCATGCACATGTGCCTAGTGTGAGTTTTCAAGCTGTTGGGTACAGGACTCAAACAGCAGTAGACTACATGGGAGTCTAGGATGTAACCATTATGCCATCTGCTAGTCCCTCAGCCTGCTCTTTTTTTTTTTAGAGGTTTTGCTACAGGGTGCGCATGTGCTTGCCAGACAGAGAGACAGAAAGAGAGAAATCACCCCCTGGAGGGATGGCCACGCTGCAATCATTTCTCCTCCATTCTCCTCTCAAGATCTTGGGCATGCACACACACGCACCCAGTGTGAGTTTAAGCCACCGGGTCTGGGACTCGAAATGCAGTCGGCTACATGGGAGTCCAGTGACATAGCCATTACACCAACTGCTGGTCCCTCAGCTTGATCTCTTTTTTTTTTTTCTTTTGGAGAGGTTTTTGCTATAGGGCATGTGCGCTCACCAGACAGACAGACAGAGACAGAGAGATAGAAAGCGAGAAATCACCCCCCGGGGGGATGGCCACGCTGCAATCCCTTCTCCTCCATTCTCCTCTCGGGATCTTGCGCACGCATGCACATGCGCCCGGCATGAGTTTAAGCCACCGGGTCCGGGACTCGAACTGTGATCGACTACGTGGGAGTCCAGCGACATAGCCATTATGCTAACTGCTGATCTCTCCTCAGCTTGATCTTGATACACAAAATCATATTTGAGGTATTCTTATAATAAAGTACTTGAAAGTACCACTCAGGAAATTTTTTTTTTTTTTCAGTTTTAACTCCTTAGAACACTAAGGATAAATAATATCAGAATTCTCTCAGAATTGCTTTTTTTAAAAATTTGTTTCTTCCATATGCAAGGAAGAGAGAAAGAGACCCCATTCCCAACAGGGTCCCAATGTGGTAATCCACCCCCAACCTCAGCTAGACCTGGATCCTGGGCAAGTGTGTGTCTGGTGTGCTCAGGGAGATCCCCAGACTTGAACCAGGAACCTTCCCATGTGGGATTACCTCACAGAACACTGCATTTTACTGCTGCAACACCAGCTGACCCCCAACATTGTTGTTTACTGAGTAGAGATTATATGT